GGAGGAGGAAGAGCGAGGGGGTCAGGGCAGAGGCACCCCGGAGACACGGTGCAGCTCAGGAGGTGGAGGCAGGAGGATCACAAGTTCAAATCCAGCCTCAGCAACTCAGCATGGCCTTAAGCAACTTGGCGAGACTCTGTCTCAGAAAAATAAAAGGGGCTGTGGATGTGGCTCAGTGACAAAGTGCCCCTGGGTTCAATCCCTGCTATCAAAAAATAAAAATAAAAGAAAAAGAAACAGTGTGACTGTCCCGGTCACAGGAGACTCTTGCAGCGTGGAGACTGTTCCAGATGAGCAGATGTGATGCACGATTGGACATGGAGTCAGCACCTGCCCCCTGCAGCTAGAGGGGCTCCTGCCTTCACGAGCAGCTCCCCTTGCAAAGCCAACCAGCTACTGATGTAGCACATGTGAATTTTAAGAAAAGCATCAATTGCCCAACCTTGCGTCTAGCTGCATCCGAGGAACAGCCGTTTCTCTTTTGGAAGCTCGGGTCAGCCTTCTAGTCTTGTCAAGTCGCCTGACAGAGGTGGGGATTGACTATAAAGATGGATTATTTCAAGAAAAAGACTCTAATGCACTTCCTCCTGCCCCGGTGAGAGGGCCATCTGGTCGACCCTCTGCCTTTAGCTAAGGGAAGTAAAATGTGAAATTGCCAGCTGTCCCCTCGGGGAGGGCAAGGCTGGACCATGCTGTCACTGCGGCCTGCTGTCCCCCGCTGCCCTCCCGTGTCCACAGCTCCCCCGCTGCACCTTCCACCATGGAGCTGCATTATTCACTGTGAGATTGTCACTCTCACCCCTGCTGGGTGCTGCTCCTTCTGTCCTTGCAGCTGTGTGACACGGTCGTCTCACCACATGAGACGGACATGTCACATATGTGCACTCGGAGCATCTGAGGGGTCCTGTACTGCAGGGACACAGGTGCAGAGTTGAGGCCTGATGAAGTTGACAGCTTGGTGCGTTAGGCAGTGGGCGGAAGGAAAGTGAGCAGTCTGGACCCTTTACCTTCTTTATGAGGGGTGGGAATTTAGTGCACTTTGGGTAGTTCCCGAGTTTTATGTCAAGGACTGCTGCACGTTATCTTGTGATCATGTGATAAATGGTAAAGCGCTCTCTGCTGCCTCTGTGATGTCTGAGTCACCACGTGCTCTCAAGCTTGCTTGTGTCAAACCCTCACGATGGCCCCCCCTGGGGCCTCCCCACCCCACCCTTCGCCCCCTGCAGCCCTCATTTTCTCACTTTTAAGATCATCTGTCTCTACCTGACAGTCCTAAGTGGAATCAGTTCTTCTCATCTTAGAGATGACATGATAAAGGGGAATTTCAAGACAGAGGTGACCCTGGGGCCAAGAGAGGAGGCACGGGAGGGTGCACGGGCCTGTGCCAGCCGTAAATGCCTGGGCTCCGCGGGCTGGGGCTGTGGAGGAAAGAGCCTCTTGGTCAGCACACGGGGCGCTGTGGTCTGCTTCATTACGAGACTCTGTGCTTCTTCCTCTTCAGATGCACAACCACAGCCACAGCATCAAGCTGCAGTCGCAAATTATAAGACAGCAACGTTCTCCAAAGATAAATTTTTCCTTTAGAACAAACAACTTGGGAAAATGCCTGGTTTGTTGTTAGTGCCTTGTTTGTTTCCTTTCTGCCTGAGTTAAAGTAAGTGTGAGCAACAGCGACGTCAGGGGACGGGGTTCACTGGGTGTGTCCGTCTGCGCTGTGGTTTTAAGGTCCTGGCTGCTGAGGCAGTTAATGCACCTGGGCTTGTGTTTACCCTTGGTTGTCTGCATCCATCAGTTGCTTTTCCTCCAGACACTCCAGCCAGGAGCTGCCTCTGGTGGAGACCTTCACCCGTTCCTTCATCAGTGCAGCACGCGGTCCCCGCGCACCAGGTGCCAAGCTTCACCGCCTTGGGACCTTGAACACTGGTGCTGCGGCCTGTTTGGAGCGGCCCTGTTGGTTCACTGTTCTGTAACGTGCTGGACCCAGCTGCTCTACCACACACCACTAACCCGGGGACGCATCTCGGCCACTGTCTCCTCGTTGGCCCCAGCTGACCTCCTGGGTCTGGTACAGCAGCGCCCTGCTCCTCTTAGAGATGGGAGCCAGGCTCCCATGCTGCTGTGTGCAGACCTCCACGCAGAGGTGACCAGAGGCCTGCACACGGCCCTCAGGCCTGCCCAGCTGGCCCTGGATACTTGCTGTCCTCCAGCTGAAGCACGGGTCATCTTGGGGACTGGGCACCTGCCGCGCTCTCCACCTGGGTTGTCTGTTCTCCATTGTCAGCCCTGTGTGCGTCCTTCAGTTCTGCTCCCGGCCCACTTCATCAGGAGCTCTTCCTGACCTTACAGGACCCCTCCTCCTGCTTCTCCCAATGGATTTATTCTGTTTGTTGTTTATCCTCAAAGGAATGGAAAAGATGAAAGTCATGTGACTCGGGTTGATAACTGTGTCCTTATCTGTTTTATTCACTTCTGTACCAAAGGTTCACAGAACAGGGCCTGGGAGAGTAAGCCCTAGACAGATGTGTAATGGACAGTTGGATTGGACAGACGAATGATGGAGGTGGATAAGCAAATGTGGATGTACAGACGGGTGGATGGGTGGGTGGATGCAAGATTTGTTCTTCTCTGCACAACTGATTAAGCATAAATATGCTTTTCAATTTTTCTGGACCTCCAATGCATATGTGGTGCCAAAAAGAAGAGGAAATGTGCTGTGGACTCCTTTCTACCACTGTATAGGCTGAGAAGTAATATGTGTAATTCCCCTGAAAACCGTGCCACCAGAACTTGGTGTGTCGGGGAATAATTTATCAACTCATTTTGTCCCTCACGGGAAGGAGGGTAAGCTCTACTCATCTGTTTGGGAGTTCAACTCTTAAATTAAGATGAGGACGGAATTTTGAGGGACAAATTACATGTTCAGAAAAGTGTTAACCTGAACTCTAACTGCAAGACCACACTGAGTTCTGGTCACACCCGTGTAGAAATTGAATGTGCACGTAGACCTGTAGTAGAAAGAGCTTGGAGAAGGGGAAGGCTGTCCACCGCCTTTTCTCTCCATTGCTGTTGGCACAGAGTCGTTTGTATAGTAAAGAAAATGACCTGCACTCTGAAAGTAAAATTTGCCAAATGAAAAAGGAATTTAGTGAGAATGTCTTCATCCCCTTGGGTAAAATAGCCTCCTAAAAAAATGCAGGAATACTACTTGCAAGAGCATCTAGTGCCTCTGTGCTCAGGAGCCCAGCAGCACAGTGACCCAGAACCCCTCGGTGCCTGCCTGCCGACCTCACGGTGCATCTTGCTGAAAGGTTCTCGGTGCAGAGCCTCTTCCTGGTCCAGTGAGAGGCTGGAAGCAGGCTCTCTGCCCTTGTCCGGGAAGTGTCTGACTCTTATCCTTCCACCACCAGTACCGACTTCTGAGGTGTGGTCTGTCTCCACCCTCTGAGTGTCTGCAGGACTTAGCCCTGGGAGCCTGTTGAGCTCAGCCCCTGCACTTCTCCCTGCAGGACTGCCCTCCAGGACCCTGGGAGAGCTCCGTCCACCCTGTCTGGTTCCTCTGGAAGCAGCCCCTCCTGTTGTTAGGTGGTGCTAATGGTCTGATGTTTCCTTCCGCCTCCGAGAAATTTCCTTTCGGTGCTAACTCTGCCTTCCCTTCGGAGGCTACACAGAATAGTCTTCCTCCTCTTTGTCTTCAGTAGTCCGTGTCTTGGGTTCAGGTGGGCCTTCAATGCATGGTGACCTCTAGTCTTAGTATTCGAGACGGAACCCTTCCTTCAGTCTCTCTTCATGTGACGTATTCTGCAAATATCATTGACTCCTGTCGTCTTTCTAGCCCCACTCTGTGTATTATCACCTGTGACAATTCCAACATTGACCTGTGCATCATATTATGGGGGTGTCTGGGCAGAAGAAGGCCTGTGATTGAGTGAGGATTACCTTTATTTTGATTGGTGTGGTTTAAGATATTCTGATGAGCTTCCAGTCACAAATGAAGATATATTTAAGCTTTGCATCGTCTACTCTTGGAGACTGTCTCCATCCCACTGCCTCTTGGCTTGGTTATTGTGAGTTGTAATTATGGATACGATCAGGGAGGTATTCTCCGATCTAAACACAGGCCCAAGTGCCATTTGCCATGTGATTCTTTGTCCTGACGTTCCTGTATAATTTGCTCTTTTATAATTAATTATTAATATGTAACTATCACGCTCTTATCATTGATTACCAATATAGCTATCGTGATTAATTCCTAATGATGCTCCCCCTGCCTCTCAAGACTCCTCTTTGGAACTCTGAATTCATGACCACTCACACCTGAAGGTGAAGCCAGCTCTGATCCCTGATGGAGGTCCGAGGTCTGCTCACCCTTTGGTGCCTTTGGCCACGTCTCAGATTCCTCCTCTCCTGCCCTCAGTCCCTGCTGCAGTGCTCATGTGGGTCCATGGGGAGGACTGCAGACTGGAGAGGGGACAGGGAGGCCAGACCAGGGGATCTGAGGCCTGTGTGAGGTGACAGAAGAAAAGGCTTACAGTAATGAGAAATGGGCAGATGTTGATGAAAATCAGCATCAAGGATGTGTTAGCTAAATATTTAAGGTTCACAGAAGTTCACGGCACAGATGGAAAGAAAGGGGAAGAGCAGAGAAGGCTTGGAGCCGGAAAGCTCCGTCCCAGGGGTCGGATTTGGAGGTGGACCGGCTGGTGGTAGTGCCACCTACCTGCAGTCCTTTGCTGGAGGAGCAGCGGGGGGCTTCACAGAGGCTTGGACTGGATCACACCAGATTCTTGTTGAGACCAAGTGTCACCCTGGTGAGAGGAGGGACGGCCCTGGTCTCTTCTGCCACCACAGACAGAGAGGCCCAGAACAGAGCTGGAGCCGCCCGCGGGCGGGAAGCTGCGCCCTGCGGTGGCCTCTGGTTGTGGGATTCGGGGAGAGGCTGGTTTGGCTCGTGTACTTCCCATTCTGCTCGCTGAGTCCTTCTCCTTCTGCGGTTGTTTCAGGAGCTGGTGGGGAGTAACCCTCCTCAGAGGAACTGGAAAGGCATCGCCATCGCTCTACTGGTCATTCTGGTCATCTGCTCCCTGATCGTCACCTCGGTCATCCTGCTGACACCAGGTACCTGAACTCCCTCTCGGCACAGGTCACTAGCAAGGGCCGGGAGCGAGGCTTTACCCTGTGGTGCTCTCTACGCGACGACCCATCCTGTCATTAACTCCCCCAGATTCTGACTGTGCCGTGTGATACTGCGGTGCGGTGACAACGATCCGTGTTATATGCTTTTAATCTGTTTCTACAGTTGACTGGGTAGCGATGCGTGGCATAAATTTAAATGCACAATTGCGTGTTCACTGTTGATGAACCTAAAGACAGAGGCACTGTAAATACAATGATTTTATGTGTGTCTTGTAATTCCTCTGTACTATATCAAGGATGAATTTTAAAAATCGCTAAAACAACATAGACTGAGTGTGAATTAAGGGCAAAGTACTTATTAGGTGCCCCTGACGAGGTAAAAGCCCCAGTCAGAAATCTCTCTGGGAAGAAGACACTGAAATTCGCAGCACCCGTGTCCCCCCCATGCTCCACCCAGTGGTGCCAGCAGAGGCCCTGCAGGTGTCAGGACAGAGGTCCTCAGGAGAAGCTTCATGGAGAAAGCAGGACGGGAGGGGGGCCTCATGGGGTGTCCAGAGCTGGTAACCAGAGGGCGGTGGCCGTCTCTAGAGTAGCCTTCGTCTGTGAGATTACCATGCAGGAGCTGTCACAGGAAAACCCATGGTCACAGGTGAACGCGAGTCTGCTTTCTCCGCTCTCAGTCATCATGGCTGCCTGTGTGGAGCAAAAGGCGGAAGCCCCAGTCCTCCATAAACAGACCACACAGATGTCAGACTTCAAGATAGAAAAAGAAAAAGAAATAGACTCTGCAGCGTGAGGAAGATTTTTGATGGATACAAAACACGTAGGCAAATTATGATGCATTCATATTGCATATGATACAACCAATACCCTTGAATTTAAATGAGGAAAGACGACGGGCATGCTGGCACCAAACTAGATCACCACATCACAAGCAAAGGAAACCAGCGACCAGTGTCCTTAGGAGAACAGACAGGAAAATCCTTGTCAAAATAGCAGTGGACAGAACCCAGCAACCCAGAGGAAAGGTTATGCACCACCACCAAGTGGGATGCATCCCAGGAAAGAAAACTTGGGTCAGCACGTGAAAATCAGTCAATGTAAATAAGCCCAGAGGACAGAATAGAGGACAGAACAGACACGGTCATCTCCACAGACATGGGAGGAACATGTGGCGAAGCCCTTTCATGATGAGACGCTCAACGGTGAGGAAAGAAGCAGTCTCACCCTGAAAACCACATCCGTGGACCCACCGGGTCCTTAAGGGTCATAAATCTGAAATCAGTGCCCCTAGGCCAGGAACCAGACAGCAGTGTTCCCTGCCTGACCCATTTCCCATTCCACTGCAGCTTCCAGCCAGGGTGGTCAGGGGAGAGGGCAGAAGACAGGCACCCAGACAGGAAAGAGAGGTGCGGAACTCCGTCCATAGAAGACCTGGACTGTACCTAGGAAAACTGAGGAATCCACCAACCGTGATGCTCCTTGTAAATGATGAACGAGTCCAAGCAGGATGGACGTAGAAGACCAGTGCACCAGATCACTGTAGCTCTGTGCACTCACAATGGCAATCCACAAGGAGATCTCAGACACATTCCACTTGTAATAGTTTCAAAGAGAACAAGAAGAGGAATGGTAGGTTCATTTGTTAGGAATGAGGCTTGTGTAGTGAAAACACCCAAACTGGGAAAAACTGAGAGCCCGAGGAGGTCAAGGGGAGGCTGAGGGTCGGGGAGGCAGGAGTGAAGCTGAGCAAGCTATCCTCTGTCCACATGTGGATACCCTCAGTGATTTTAAAAAATTAAATAAATAGAAGAAAAAGCAGTACAGTAATGGGAAGAGGGGAAGGAAAGAGTAAGTACTGAATTGGAGCAAATTATATTCCATGCTTCTATGGTTGTGCGAAGATGAACCCCGATATTATGTATAACTACCATGTACTGATAAAAATAGGCCACTGAACAAGAGACTTGAGTAAATGGAGGTCATCCCTTGTAAATGGGTTGAAAGATGTGACCTTGTTAACATGGCCATATTCTCTAAATTGATCTGCAGGCTCATTTCAATCCCAACTGCCTTTATTAAAGAAATTGCTAATTAATTGTAAAAGTCTTACAAAATGCATGGGAATCAGAATAACCAAAAAAAAGTTTTAAAAGAATAATTAGAAGACTTGATCTCCTGATTTTAAAACTTCCTATAAAATTACAGTGATTAATAAATATGTCATGCTAGCATCTGAACAGATATATAGACCCATGGACTAGAATTGAGAATTCTTAAAGAGTTCCACACATCCACAGTCAGCTGATTTTTGGCAAAGGTTCCAAGGCCATGCAAGGAGACAGAATAGTCTTCCACAAATTGTGCTGACACAACCGAATTTTCACACACCAAAGAGTAAAGTTGAACACTAACCTCATACCATGCGGATCTGATACCTAAATATAAAAGCTAAATCTATGAATTTCTAAAGGTAAAACATAGTAATAAGTATTTGTGACCTTATACTAGGCAAAGTGCAAGCAACCAAAGAACAAATAGATAAATTAGATTTTGTCATACTTAGCTTTTAGTGTGTCAAAGGACATCATCAAGCAAGTGGAAAGACCCTCACAGAATGTGACAAAATATTCACAACCAGCAAAAGTTGTATCTAGAACATATAAAGAAATCATAACTTAAAACAGAAATGCAAATATATAATTCAACTTAAATTCAGGCAAAATGTTGATAAGTCATAAAATATAAGTCTCTCCAAAGAAAGACAAGTGGCCAAGGAGTACTTGAAAAGATTCTCAGCACCATTGAACATTGGGGAAATGACGATCAAGCCACAGTGGAATATCACCTCGCCAACGTGGATATAAAGACAAAAAGCAAAGAACAAAAAGGAAAATAATAAGTGTTGACGAGGATACGGAGAAACTGGGACCTTTTTACATTACTGGTGGGAATAGAGATTGTGGAAATTAGTTTGGAATTAAACTACCGTATCATGCAGTGTTTCTACTTCTAGATAAATACCAAGAAAATCAGAAACGTATTTATACAGAAGCTTGTGTGTGAGCCTCGTAACAGCATGATTCATGGTTGTCATAAGGTGGAATCAACCCAAATGTCCACCACCTGGCAGATGAACAAGTAGGCGTGGTCCATTGTACACCAGACCCTTCCTCAGCCTGGAGAAGAACAGAGGGCGGCACGCTGGGCTTGGAAAACCTTGACAACATTAGGCTCAGTGAAAGACTCCGGGTCCCAAAGGCCACACGGTGGATGATTTGAGCACCGCCAAATGCACACAGAAACAAGGAAGATGGGCAGCTTCCAGGGCCTGGGAAAAGTGCCGTGGAACGTGAAATGTCCTTTCTAGGTGATGAAATATGGTGGAATTCAATAGTGGTCATGGACGCACATTTGCTGGTATTTAAAAAAAAAAACAGTTGCACATGGTAAAAGGGCAAAATATATGATATGTAAATTTTATCTCAATTAAGCTTTTAGTTTAAAAATGATGGGAAAGTCGTTAAAAAAAAAAAGAAAGAGGAGCAATCTGGGCATTTATATATGAAAGAAGTGTCATAAAAACCTGCCTAACACTGAGAGGTTCCAGCAGCAGTTCTGCAAAACTGAGCATCATGTTGTCCTTTGCGAGTGAGCCCACGAATACGCCAGAGACCTCTGGGACGTGGGGGCTTGGGACACCACACCATGAGCAGGAGAAAATAGGCTCAGTGGTTGGGATCTCAATGGGAGGAATCGGGGGAGGATTCCTCTCACCTGTACCTGTTGGGGTTTGTGGTTGTGCTGCTGCTGATACAACCCAGCAGGGGACTTTGACAACTGCATATTTAAGTTACTGGGAAGGAAATTCAGCTCCCCTGGACCTGGGGACACATTTCTCCCACTGCTCTGCACAGAGTTGTGTTCTATGTTAACTGGAGTGGTTCAGGAGACGTCACTCCCTTTGGGACGTAGCACACAGGGGTGTATGTCACGTGCAGTTTCTACCGCCCTCCCAGAGCACCCACACGTGTCCGTGTCACCGGCTGCCCCGAGCTCACACCAGTGTCACTCAGAAGTGGGACGCAGTGGCTGGGGGAGCTCCTGCACAGAGATGGTGTGCGGTGACAGGGAGGTGACTAGAGTAACGCAGGCCCAAGAAGCCGCTCCAGGACCCTCCCTGAGCCCTGGTGTTTCTCTGCTGTGCAGGGAGTGGGCAGCTCCCACCCTCTCTGTGCAGCAGTGCAGCCCCGGCAGCATCTCCACTGTCATAAATAGAGAATAAAATCATTGTGGGCCGCTCTCTCTTTGCAGGCTGACACCAGTGGTCAGGGACAGTGAGGAGCTAGAGGCCAGCACCAGGCTGGGGCTCAGGTGGATCTCCGTATCCCAGCAGGCTTTGAAGGGGGGATTTTCTTTATTCTTCTGTTACACCCACTGCGGAGCCCTGTTTACCCCTTTGGTTCCGCGGCGTCCACGGTGGTCCTCACTACCGCAGACTGCTGTCCAGGAGCGCATGCCCGGGCTCAGGGAGAGCACCGGCTGGTGGTGTCCCTTGGCCTCCTCCCGTCCCAGACTTTGCCTGTCCATCTCCTGCAGTGCTGGTGGCTTCTGGCGTTCAAAATTGTGGCTGGCAGAGAAGGTCTCAGATCCTTTGACCTGCCACCAGCCCCAGAGGGTTCTCAAACTCCCCACTATTCAGAGCATCCTCGGGTAGCCACCAGTACTACCTGTCAGTCCAAGGTCAGTGGCCCCCTGTGGGGGCTGAGGACGCACGCCAAGTCCTGGGAGAAATGTGGAAATGCTGAGTGTTCTCCTGAAGCTTAGATTAGGAGACCACAGCGTTGTGGGCAGGAGGAAAACACGGAAGGCTGGACAGGAAACCTGTAAGTACGCTCACAGCCCCGGGCAGTGAGGCGGGTGGCTGAGAGACCAAGAGGATGCCCAGAGAGGGGACAGAAGATGCAGCATTTATTGAAAAA